GAAGCCAACAACCATATGTCCTCCCCACACTGCACCAATTCAGGTCAGGTGGTTCTCAGTTTCGAGTTACCAAAACCTAGCTATTAGAGATTGACACCTTTAGAAAGAATCACAGGTAGGTATGGTCCAGCTAGGCAGCCTCGGTTTCTAAGCTGAGGATGTGTTGTTGCCATGTATATTTTTATTGGAAGAAAACCTCTAATTCAGCCTGAAGCTGGTACGTGAATCATTCAAAGGTGTGGTGTGATTTTTGACTAGAAGCTGGACCAGATGCTCTGTGCAGGTTTGGAAGCAGTTATACTCTTGTGGTTTGACTAACCTTTTTTTATGAGTGTGTTACTAAAGAAACGTGAGCTGTTGGCTTTTCAATTACTGTAGCTTAGCCCTTCTGAGTTTCATACACATTGAGTCATCGTGTCTACAGGTGACTGATAATCATCTGCACCGCTCAAGTTACCGTAACTCGGAAATGAGGGGATCTGATGAGTGCAAGTTGCCTGCACGTGAAGATCTGAGGCTGTCCCGTCGTCTTCACAATGAATAATGGTCTGTGTTAACCACAGAACTCATTTCTACTCATCCAGGGCTTTATTTTTCTCTTAATGTTAACTTTAGCACTCAGCTGTTTTCTGACATATGCTGCAGGTGGTATAAACTGTGAAACTGTAGGCCTAGTTAAACAAAGCAAACTCTTGGGAAAAGGGATAAAAGCAGAGTTTGTGATGTACCCACCCCACCCCAGAAACTTTCTGAAGGCTCTGTTAGGTGAACAGATAAAAAGATCCTTAAGGCCAGGTGCAGTGGCTCAAGCCTATAATCCCAACACTTTGAGAGGCAGAGGCAAGAGGATTTCCTGAGCCTAGGAGTTTGGGACCAGCCTGGTCAACTTGCTGAGACCTCATCTCTACAATAATCAAAAAATTAGCTGGGCATGGTGGCATATGCCTGTAGTTTCAGCAACTTGGAAGGCTGAAGCAGAAGGATCACCTGAACTGGTTGAGGCTGCGGTGACTGTGAGCATACCACTGCACTCCAGCCTGGGTAACAGAGTGAGATCCCAGCTCAAAAAAAAAAAAAAAATTGATTACTTTAGCAAAGGTCAACTATCCTGTTGCTTCATTTTTGAGTTATCAAGGTGAGGTAAGTGCATGGGTGTTTTTTCTTTCTCTTTTTTTGGCATATTTTTTTCTCCCAGGTATGTGTCTAGAAACTATCAGGTTTGGCCTTAAGGTAGTGGGGATGCAGGACAAATTTATCTGATTGGAGTAGATCTTTTAGCTCGTCTTTCTGGCTCCGATTTCTTGCTATGCTGGTCCATCTTACCCACTGCTTTACATCGACCACAAGCCTCTCTTTCTCAAGAGTGTGTAGCCATTTGCTCTTTGTTCAGATCCATTTGGTCATCCAGAATGACCGTCATTTGGTCATATCATGTGTTATCTTTTTTTGCTGTTTCCCAAAATGCGGGATGCAAACTACCAGGAGGCACACAGGGCATTGAAAACCTCGATCCACATGGCAAGAAAATTATTTTCTTTTCCGTTATCTTTCAGTCTCCCTGAGTCAAGGAGACTTAGACTGAATCTGATGCCAGTTTTTTTTTTTTCCTTCCTTTTTCTTTTTTGAGTCAGGGTCTCACTCTGTTGCCTAACTGGAGTGCAGTGGCATCATTACAGCTCACTACAGCCTTGACCTCTTGGGTTCAGGCAATCCTCCCACCTCAGCTTCCCGAATAACTGGGACTACAGATGCACACCACTATACTCGGCTCATTTATTTTTTTGTAGGGACGAAGACAATGTTGCCTAATCTGGTCTCAAACTCCTGGGTGCAGGCACTCCTCCCGCCTTGGATTCCCAGAGTGCTAGGATTACAGCTTGAGCCACCACATCCAGCCATTGCTAGTTGTCTTTAACACTGATCTCACACTTGGTAATCTCTGGTTCTAACAAAGAGAGAAGATCTCAGTCTCCAAGGTACTCACGATAGTACCTGATTTTCATTGTCTTTATTTATTATTATTATTTTATTTTATTTTATTTTATTTTTGAGTTGGAGTCTCACTCTGTCGCCCAGGCTGGAGTGCAGTGGCATAGTCACGACCACCCCAGCGTCAACCTGCTGGGCTCCGGTGATCCTTCCCCTCAGCCTTCCAAGTAGCTGGAACTATAGTCTCATGCTGCCACGCCCAGCTAATTTTTTTATTATTTTTATTGTAGAGATGAGGCCTCGCCAAGTTGCCCGGGCTGGTCTCGAACCTGCAGGCTCAGTCAATCCACTCGCCTTGGCCTCCCAAAGTGCTGGGATTGCAGGCTGAGCCACCAAGGCTGGCTGATTTTTATTTTTCATAGCTACCTTCTATTTGCAGCAAGTGATTCTGGCTTTCCATTTATGTTAGTGATATAAAGTTTCCTTAAAACACAAATTTATTTTAGAAAAAAAAAGAGAAAATGTGAGCTGACTCAAACACACAAAGAAAAAGCCCCTAGCATTTACCAAGTGTTTTCCATGGGGCAGCCCTTGTTCTAAACGCTTTCCAGTGACCCTATGAGGTAGATATTATTATTTCCATTTTACATAAGGACATGGGACACAGACAGGTTTGGTCACTGGCCCAAGGTCACATGACCAGTGACCAATGGAGCCAGCATCACACACAGTCCATCGGACTTTAGAGTTCATTCTCTCAGCCACCAACCCAGCCTGTGTGATTATGGCAGAATGTGAGAATGATGATGTCTGGGAAACACTTTGTTTCATGCTTCTTGACGTAGCTTTAGCCAGACGCGCCTGCTCGCCCATGCATGCCTCATGTAGTCCCACCTCTCTGCCATCGTTCACGCCGCCCCCTCAATTAGGATGTCCTCTTGTACCTTTCTAAAAATCTAGATACTACCAGTTCATCAAGACCCTCCTCAAACTTGAGATTTTCCAAGAACGCTTCCTTTTCCCCAAGTACTCTTGAAGTGTTTGCATTCCCTTAACTCCTAAATATACAATTTACCCAGCTCGTCTTGCCCTTGCTTGTATACTGCCTTATTCTTTTCCAGAATATATCTTACATTTCTGCCTAAATGCCTCAAATGTGGCATTCAAAATAAAAGCAGAGGCCTCCAGAGAGCAAAGTAGCCCTTTTTCAACTCTTTTTTTTTTTTTGAGTTGGAGTCTCACTCTGTTGCCCAGACTGGAGTGCAGTGGCATGCTTTCAGCCACCACAGCCTTGACCTGCTGGGCTCAGGCTTCCAAGTAGCTGGAATGACAGGCATGCGCCACCACACCTAGCTACTTTTTTGATTTATTGTAGAGAAGAGGTCTCACCGAGTCATCCAAGCTGGTCTCAAACCCCTGAGCTCAGGCAATCCTCTTGCCTCGGCTTCCCAAAGGGCTGGGATTATAGGTGTGAGCCACAGTGCCCAGCCTACAACTCTTTTTCTCCGGTTCTGTATATAAGTCTTATTTCTCACCCACGAGGTTGGAGACACTTTAAGAACAGGAACTGGGCAGAGCACAGTGGCTCACACCTATAATACCAGCACTTTGAGAGGCTGAGGTGAGAGGATTGCCTGAACCCCAGGTTCGAGACCAGCCTGGGCAACTTGGCAAGACCTCATCTCTACAATAAATCCCCCCCAAAAAAAAATTAGCTGGGCATGGTGGTGCATGCCTGTAGTTCCAGCTACTTGGAAGGCTGAGGTGGAAGGATCGCCTGAGCCCAGCGGGTTGAGGTTGCGGTGGCTGGGAGCGTGCCACTGCCTTCCAGCCTGGGTGACAGAGTGAGACTCCAACTCAAAAAAAGAAAAAAAAAAGAACAGGTTCTCCCAACCCTTTTGTTTTCTTGTGTTTTGGGGTGTTTTTTTTTCCCTTTTTTCATTGCTGAACCCTTTACTGTATGGCAGTGACAAATTTTGGAACCTGTAATGCCTTGGAAATGTAACAGAAGAGAAGGGTGTGGTTCAGCAAATCTCTCCGGAATCCAGTGTTGACAATGAAAAAGCGTCATCAACAACCTCATCTTCCCTCCTTGCACCCGACTCACTCCAAGCCTTCTCTTCCCTCTCCCACCACTCACCACTGAGCTCACCTGCCATCACTGCAGACCTCTTCCTTGCCTTCCCTGTGGCCAAGAGGGCCTGTTTTCGAACACACAACACCCACACGCCCTGAAGGTGGCTAAACTCCGTTTTCAAAATAACTCAGCAGCTTGACATGAGATGTAGGAGAGGGTGACCACAAATAGAGTTCTTCAGTTAAGTGTGAGATGGTCTTGACGATCACATGTGTATCAAGGACACATTTGCTGCAAAGGAAGAGTGGCACACTTTAGGAAAGGAACAGAGATTACAAGCCGGCCTCAAGAAAGCTGTTCTAAAACTTTCCACACCTGAAGTGTAGAAAGTAAGTATCTTTTACTTAAATCTCAGTCGGCCGGGTGACCGGTGAGTTTGAGGAGCAGCCAGTGGGAGTTTGGGGCCCATTTTCTCTGCCTCTGGCTATTTAAAGACCTGCCGAGGCTCCTCGCTAAGCACCTCCACTCTTTGCAGCACGTCCGTCCCCCTGGCTACCTAATATTACGAGTAGAAAGTGACAAGCAAAATAAGAGCTTGGGAGTTGACTGTGTCTTAAGAGTTCATGAACAGTGGGAGGCAGAGGCCTGTGGTCTTGCACGGCGGTGGTTCCCTGTCCTTCTTTGCCCGTCTGAATGTTCCTTTCCTCCTCCTTTCTTTAGGGCTTCCCTCTGACACACACAGTGGGCACGCCTCACACTGTGGCCTCAACCCTCCCTTCTGTTTACGGGCTTTATTCTAATTGTCCCCATGTGTTGCTGCTGACCAGCGTTCCCTGGGGCTTCAGCACCAAATGGAGCCATTCTGCCTAGGCTGGGTGTTCTTAAGCAGCAGTGATTTAACCTCCTCACTTGTCTGAGGTCTCTGGAAAATAATTTTGTAAACTCTCTACCTTTGTGTTGTTCCCTTTGTAACCTTTTATTTCACCCGTTCCAGGTGAGAAGCGCCACTGCTTTGATGTCAACTATAATCCCAGCTATATGTATGAGAAAGAGAGTGAGATCATACAGACCCGCATGATGGACCAAGCCATCAATAATGCCATCAGTTATCTTGGCGCCGAAGCCCTGCGCCCCTTGGTCCAGACACCGCCTGCTCCCACCTCCGAGATGGTTCCAGTTATCAGCAGTATGTACCCCATAGCCCTCACCCGGGCTGAGATGCCAAATGGTGCCCCTCAGGAGCTGGAAAAGAAGAGCATCCACCTTCCAGAGAAGAGCCTGCCTTCTGAAAGAGGCCTCTCCCCCAACAACAGTGCCCACGACTCCACGGACACTGATAGCAACCATGAAGAACGCCAGAATCACATCTACCAGCAAAATCACATGGTCCTTCCTCGGGTCCGCAATGGGATGCCCCTTCTGAAGGAGGTCCCCCGCTCTTATGAACTCCTCAAGCCCCCACCCGTTTGCTCAAGAGACTCCATCAAAGTGATCAACAAAGAAGGGGATATGATGGATGTATACCGGTGTGACCACTGTCGCGTCCTCTTCCTGGATTATGTGATGTTCACTATTCACATGGGCTGCCACGGTTTCCGTGACCCTTTTGAGTGTAACATGTGTGGATATCGAAGTCATGATCGGTATGAGTTCTCATCTCACATAGCCAGAGGAGAGCACAGAGCCTTGCTGAAGTGAATATCTGGTCTCAGAGATTGCACCTAAGTACCAACATCGTTTTTCTTTCTTTCTTTTTTTTTTTTTTGAGTTGGAGTCTCACTCCGTCGCCCAGACTGGAGTGCAGTGGCCGCTCCCGGCCACCGCAGCCTCGACCTGCTGGGCTCCGGCGATCCTTCCGCCTCAGCCTTCCGAGTAGCTGGAACTACAGGCGCGCGCTATCACACCCAGCTAATTTTTGATTTATTGTAGAGATGAGCTCTCGCCAAGTTGCCCAGGTGGGTCCCAAACCCATGGGCTCAGGCAATCCACTCACCTCAACCTCCCAAAGCTCTGGGATTACAGGCTGAGCCACCAAACCCGGCTCCAATGTCGTTTTTCAAAATTAATAACCCCATCTAACAGAGAGCTCTCAAAACATACTCAGCCCCAAACTCCTTTTCATGCCATTTTTAGTCTTGTTCACATGGATAGCAAGAGAAACACTGCCTTTGTTCAGAAATTATTTGCAAATCTGTCATGTTAATACTTTTGTGACACCTTTGTGTTTCCATCAGGGACTTGAATTTCATGGAATTTAAAAACCAAAGAAGTATTTGGTCATTATCTTCTGCAGCAGTAGAATAGGCTTCTGTGGAAGTGTGTTGCCAGTTGGAGCAGTCCCCCAGTCCCCAGTTGCACTGCCTGAGATGTTCTCTCTGAGATACATTAGCTGTATGTGGAAAAGCCTTGTGGTGGTACCCCAAATCCACAAGGAGAAAGTGCTGACCAGCTGACCTTGCTGGGAAGCCTTGCCCTTTGTAACACATGCTGAAGGGTCTGGCTATAATCTCCCCAACCCAGATTGTAGGCTAAAAGTAGTAAAAAGAACAGTCACAAAATAAGTACCTTTACCAGTAACTGAAGACCTTGTTCCCAAACATCAGATCCATTTCTGTTCACAAAAAAAAAAAAAAAAAAATTTTTAAATAAGTCATCTGATGATACTTCTGCTTCTACCCTTTACCATTCCACCGAAGAGCTGAGTTGTTTGGGTTAAATGAGTTGTCTAGTAAGAGAAATTCTCTACCAGAAGAACTGATGGCTTTAGATATAGACCATCACTGGAACTCCAGAAAGTTGTTCACTGCAGATGATGGCATCCCTTTCTTCTGGTCAGGATTGGCAGAGCAGGGGTTTAAGGGAGGAAATGGTTTGGTAGCAGCAACAGAGAAAAAAAAAAAACCTAGCTACCTAGAAGTTCTTGGTCTTCTCATGAAGAATTGATGATATAGACTCAAAGCAGACTTGCCAATTATCTTTTTCCACAAGAAATATCAAGGAATCCAAAAAGTATGACTTAGCCTTCTCCTCCCCACAGGAGAGTTTTTAGATCAGAGCTGAGCCTCAGGATGTGGTGAGGGGGGACATCTCTACTGACAGGTTCTCCTTGATCAGGTGGGTCTGGACTCTTTTTTTCCCATTTAAATGGAGCTGTCATATTCCTCAATAATTCTTGAAAATCTGATCTGTGTCCTGCGGATGTATCAGTCATCTTTGTCACTGATAATGGGGACATACTATCAAGGAGCAGTGCTGCGATCATTGTAAAACTAGCACCGGAAGAAGGGGTTACAGAATCTGTTTGCTAATTCCATATTGCCACTAATTACTTATGTGACTCTGAGTAGATCATTTAACTCTTAAAACTCAGTTTCCTCAACGATAAAATATGAATTGAATTTGTGTTTTCCCAGGTCCTTTCCAGCTTTAAATTTATATGTGATTATGCAGTAACCACAAGTTATTTTTAAACCTCTTCATGTTTGGATATTAAGCAAACATGAAGAGGTTTAAAAAAACCTCTGGATGTGAATATATGTTTCACATGTCTTTGGTGTGAAAATGGCAGTGTGTTAAGTTTTTCCTTTAACCACTGAGTTGTGAATGTGAAGAAGATGACGGGGAGGAACAAAAAACAGAAAGGTATTTTGATCTTGCCCCAAAGTTGTACACACAAATTGGCACCTGCGGCTGCTTGCCAAAGCCTTTTTTTTTTTTCCTTTTTAAGAACCTGTGTTAGGGAAAATAAATTCTGCTTCCAGGGACAACTTCATGGAGCCTATTTACAAATTAAGAGTCAGCTTTGCCAACATTCCTACCAGAGCCAAGAATCCCAAATTCCTGATAGATTAATGTTTTATTTCTAAAGGGCTTATGCGTTCGGCTCAAACTCAACTCGTTTATGTGCTGCCAGTAATTAAAATGTTCCACCTCAGACTGCACAAATGGCTTATCCTTCTTTGTAGCATGGCGTCTGTCTCAGGAAAAAAAAAGGTTTTATGAAATTCCATGGCAACAGTCCCAACATGTTTGAGACTTCAGCTAAAGGACTGGATGTATTTTGGTGTGTGTCTTCAGTATATCACTGTATTTCCGTAATACTAGACTCCAAGTTATGCCAGATTGCTCTTACCCATTGTGAAAGAGGAGTTGCTCATTATATCCTTGAAATATCACACATCCTGTTGACTCTTCGAGGGACCAGAGAAAGAGAATTTGGAAGCAGGGATTGGAAGGAGAGAAAGCTAGGGAAAGGCAGCCTTTCTATCAGATTAGTATTGAAGTCTTTGCTGAAGAGCCCAACTTTTCCCTCTCAAGATGGTGAAACTAAGACATACTCCCTTAACCCAGACTCTTGTATAGAGATACAGTCCTTCTTTTTCTGGTGACCTATGGGTTTGCTGAGTGATTTCCATTCTTCTGAGGTTTTCTGAGCGGGATGGCCACTCACAAGGGCTGTACTCCCTTTGTAGCGTTCTGAGCTAAGTCAGGGCCCATCAAGTCCGGAGAAAATGTGTATGTGGGAACTCCACGTTCTTAAGTCGTGAAGTGGAGCCAGGTATGCAGTGGCTGCCATCACACAGGTAAACACTTCCTTCTGTATGCACTCGTTAGACTGTACTAATTAACCACTCCTGCTGGCCGGCATGAGGATGAGGGTAAAGGAGAATCTCAGCCAGATACCCAGAGAAAAGGGCAGGGGCAGGGCTTGTCTCTCTGCTGCTGGGCAGTGAGCCCTGGAGCAGCTCCGGGCAGCAAGGCCCTCTGCACACATGAGCTCTGGAGGGCTCTTGCCTTTACTTCCCGCCACCCCTCTCAGGAGGCACATTTCCACCACATACGCAGGAAGCCACAGTCTGAGGAACAACCAAACCCATGATAAGTTCCCATGTAGCCAAAATGACAGACTTGGGGTGAGGGTGGAAAAAGAACAGAATCAACTGTCCAAATCTTTAAATATTTTTTTAAGTTTTTATTTTAGAGCCAGGATCTTGCTATGTTGCCCAGGCTAGCCTCCAATTCCTGGGCTCAAGCGATCTTCCCACCTCGACCTCCCTCCCTGTAGCAGGGATTACAGGTGTGCACCACCATGCCCAGCTCTCCAAGTATTTTCTTTCATGATGTGAAGTGCTGCATAGGTGCTTGCTACTGAGAGAGAACTAAATAGAAAGCTTGTCTCCCATCACCACCACCAGAAACAAAGACAGAGAAACCCACCACTCTTCAGATGCCCTAAGTCATTCTCCCAAACAGACATTTGTCTTGGCATAGCTGGCACAAACTAACTTTGTGCTTTGTTACTCATGCTGAGCTATTTCTGACACAGCTTCTGACTTTGTCAGTGACAAAATGTCTAACCTGTTACATGCAGTGCTTAACCTTTTGCTAGGCCCATACTCACAGCGGCCCAGATATAAAATGGACCTCAGATTCCTTTTGTAAAGAGAAATGTTTAAAAACACAAAATTTTACTCAGTTGACACACTGTTATTATTAAATGTCACATCAACATAAAGTTCTTCCAAGTGGCAACTGCATCATTCTATTTTTTTTTTTTTTTGCTATTCACCAGCTAGCTCTGATGAATCACTATTCCCCCTTCTCCACCCGCTGAATGTGAGATTTAGAATTTTTTGTTTGTTTTTTGGGGGTTTTTTGAGTTGGAGTCTCACTGTCACCCAGACTGGAGTGCAGTGGCCGCTCCCGGCCACCGCAGCCTCGACCTGCTGGGCTCCGGCGATCCTTCCACCTCAATCTTCCGAAGAGCTGGAACTACAGGTGCACGCTACCATGCCCGGATAATTTTTTTTTCATTTATTGTAGAGATGAGGTCTCACTTGCCCAGGCGGGTCTCGAACCCGTGGGCTCAGGCAATCCACTCACCTCAGCCTCCCAAAGACGCGGGATTACAGGCTGAGCCACCGAGCCCGGCAGATTTAGAATGTTTTAAGGAAAAGGCAGTCCTCTGTTATATATCCCTAGGCAGACCACAATGGAAGTATTTTCTCTAAAGACCTCACTTTAAGATGTACCCCGCTGAGAGGAAGTACATTGGTCTCTAGCGGAGATTTGGAAACTCTAAGACACTCAAGAGTTGTGCAAGAGTGTGGACATCTTAGAGGCTTAGAGTTAGGACTTGTGAGCTCAGGAAGAGAAAGGAAAGGGGAGTGGTGTAATTTTGTCCTAAAAAATAGCATCAGGTAGCCGTGTGTGGTGGCGTGCATCTGTAGTTCTAGTTACTTAGAAGGCTGAGGTGGAAGGATTGCCTAACTCCAGTAGGTCGAGGCTGTGGTGACCGTGAGCATGCCACTGCACTCCAGCCTGGGCGACAAGTGAGACTTCAACTCAGAAAAAAAAAAAAAAAAATAGCATCAGGGACAGAAGGAGTGAAGTGATATGTAGTGAGATCTCTGTTTTAGAGAATTGGAAGCTACTATTTTTTGTGTTCACACAAAGTATAGTTCAGAAAGTCTCTTAGAAGTCACATAAGCAGAATGATTTGGGATATAAGTGCCTATAAAGAGGATCTGACTGGAGCAAAGGATTCTGTTCTCTAAGACTGCAAGACTGCTGACTATCTAGGACCATGGACTCAGAAGAGTCTAGAAAAGAGGTGTGCGTTTTACACTTGTGTGAGCTCATCAAGTAACATAAGACTATATGTCTGTTTGCCCAAGCTGTATATAGTCTGTGCTTCT